AATAAAGAACACACAAATTGCACTAAATTATACAAAATACTTCAAGATAATAGATAAGATGTAAATAATACATAAAGTGAAAAGTAAACATATAGATAACAAAGTCACAAATTATTAAATATTCTTATGTTTAAGTAGCTCAAAATATTCATCGGTGCCATAAAAGGGATTCTCTATAAAGAAAATTTTCATTTTCTGCTTAAATTGTCTGGTTGGTAGATTTTTGAGGCTGCTCCGCAGAACATTGTATAATTTAACATTGATTTTATTAGTTTGCGAGGACGTCAGTCTGGAGTACGGTAGGGCGATCGAATCACCTTGACTGGTGTTATACTCATGTCTACTAGTTAGTGTGCGATAAGAATCAGCATTATCATGAATGCATAAAACAGATCTGTAGATGTAGGTAGAGGGCAGCCTCATAATCTTCATATCCGCGAAGATGGGTCTGCAGTGTTCACGCGGACCAGCGACGCTAAGTAGCCGCATATCCTTCTTTTGCAAACGAAAAGCTTTTTCCGAGTATTTTACCCCACCCCACAACACAACACCGTAAGACAACACACTATGCAGTAGACCGAAGTAGGCCGTTCTTAGGGCCAATTTTGTTAAACAGTGGCTGAGATGCCGTAACAGGAACAAACGCCGGGACAGTGTGGCGCAGACTTCGTCGATTTGGCCGTTCCATGACAGATTTCTGTCAATAACAAATCCCAGTAGAGTAATGTTGTCGTGATGAAGAAAGTCTACTTTGCTACAAGAGAAAGTGAGTTCTTGAGTTTTTTGTTGGTTAAGGACTAGATTGTTTGCAGAGAACCACTGCTGAAGGGCCCGCACAGTCTCATCAACGTTTTCAGTAAGCATTTTATGATTCCTAGCTTTTGAAAGAACGGCAGTGTCATCTGCGAACAGGGTCACGTTTGCATTGGGTATGGACAGCGACAGATCATTTATGTAAATAATGAAGAGCAGAGGCCCCAGGACCGAGCCCTGAGGCACGCCGGAGACTACTGGGAGAACGCTATCGCTGGACACTCCGCTACTCTCAATGTACTGAAACCTGCTGTCTAGATATGACTCTATTAATCGTAGAGGGATACCCCTGACGCCGTAAAACTCTAATTTATTCAATAGTACGACGTGGTCAACACAGTCAAAAGCTTTTGTAAAATCATACAACAGGGCCTTCGAAATGTCACCATCATCATACCCTTGGACCACCCTGCTCACAAATTCTATGAGTGCATGGGTTGTCGATTTCTTTTCTCGAAAGCCGAACTGAGAGTCGCTCAGAAGTTTGTGTTTATCAAAAAATCGTAAAAGGCGGGTTTTTAAGGCTTTTTTGATCACTTTGCCAAAGATAGGGCCTAAGGTTATTCGGAATGTGATTGTCTCCTTTTTTATAAACAGGAATTATTTTTAATAGTTTCAGCTGCGATGGAAATTCGCCACTGCATTAGTTAAAGCCGTCAGAGGACCCACAATGTACTCTATGGTGTGTTTCAGTATTTTTGCATTTATGCCGAAGCAGTCAACGGAATTTGAATTGCTCAGACTCATGATAGTTTCATGTATTTCGCTTTCTGAAACCGGACTCAAAAAGAAAGATTTACTGGCAGAGAATTTCTTTAAATACGCATAGGGATCATTGGATTTTCTAATAGTTGAGATTAGATACTCGACCACCTTGGAGAAAAAGATGTTGAACTCATTGGGCGTGACTCTGGATGATCGATTGGTTTCATGATTGATTAAGGCCCAACAGTTTTTGCTCATGCAATAATAATAATAATAATAATAATAATAGTAATAATAATAATAATAATAATAATAATAATAATAATATTTATTTTCCCAAAGACAACTACAAAATTGTATAGAAATAGTCAAAATACATAATAGGTGCTATCGACATATAGAAAAACATTTACTCAAAAAGTTTGTCTAGACTGGATAACAAAATTATTTTTAATCGTTTTTCAAATAGACAAGGTTTTAAATGTTTGACTCGCCAGTGTGAGAATTCTGTACTGGGCAAATAAACCTTTACAAGATGTAAATTTGGAAATGTGTACAATACTCTTTAATATAGAAAGCTCGCTCTATCCCCACTTGCGATAGTGTCATTGCCTGAGCAGATATTCAATTAATTAGTTCTGAAACCTTATAGTTAATTTTTCCAAACCCGAGCAGAGGTCATCATTTCCACACTACAACACCAAGGAAAAATCATTCTCGTACATCACAAAAAAAGTAAAATTTTCAATATAAAATTTGATCTCTATGCGTTTACTAGCTGAATTTACATTTTTCATTGTAATACCGTGATAAGAATTAAGGGATACAAATTGAGAGCGATCTTCTAAAAAAATTCTGACGCAGTCTAAAGGCTTACCTCTTATACCCGAAGCGTGCAGAGCTTTCCAAGTTCCGTAAAAGCAAAACAGACAAACGCCCGACTTAAGTCGCAAAAAATTCCAACCGGGCATTCTTTATCCTCGATATCCTCGCAAATACGAATAGGCAGCAGCTGAAGTGTTTCTATTTTTTCTGAAGCCATGTTGCAAAAGACATTAATCTTTCTAACACTAGAAATAGACGATAGTTCTTCGGACTGATGGCACAACTCTATTTATTTTTAGAGATGATGGGAATGTGTCACTTAGACAAGTTACAATACTCATTTTAATAAAAACGTTGATATGCCATCATATCAACCTCTCCTCTTTAAAACGTAATATATAAAAACTCTTATCATTTACATCCCTAATTACATTCAACTGAATATAACCCACAATATTTTGGGAGCATCTATAAAATAGTTACTAAATAAAATTAAATACAGACGCCACAATATCAGGCTCATTCTCGATTTTATGAAATTAAATTAAATTCTCAATCCATTTTTTCTTTTTGGATAGCGCCCTAACTAACTAAAATGTAAACTAAAACAGTAGAAAAAAACTTCATAACAACTATTAAAAGCTCTGGTCCGTCTCGGAATAAACATGAAACCAATTCTCTGGACCAAGCGTTTGCTCAAAATTCTGAATTTTGGTGTCACTGAAGTTTCTACCACTTCGAGATGTTGAACAAACATTCGACTTGGTGATGACACAAATAATTGTCAAAAACACAAAATAAAGAATCCTTACTACTTACTTAAAATCCTAGTGGGGTATTTTACAAGGGACACAAAATCATAACATTACATATAATAAGGTTTTCGATTAAGTATAAATATATATTACAATGCTATATATATTATTTCCTTCTTAGACTTCTGAGAAAATCCTATTGCAGGCTTCTCTATGGTAGCTCTATGAGGTGAGTAGCTTAGCCTTCATGTTGCTTCTTTCAAAGCTAGACAAAGGGACGGGTGACCAAGGGTTGCGCCCACTGTAAAAAGAAATCGATGCTCAAAAGTACTGCCTCGGAATATGAGCTGAAAAAGAAAGGATATGGAAACTCAATTTAAAAAAAATATAGATACTTTGTTAGCATATAAACGCCTTGCGTGAGTAAATTGAAAGAAGAGGGGTATAAAGTCCATGAACTATAGCGACATATTGACTATCACAGAATCCGAACGTATTCTTAATAGCAGACTTTAATTCCTGAGTAGCCAATGAAGCAATTAAAGGTGTAATGAACAGGGTTAGCGATAATATAGTAAAATAAAACACTAAAAACTAAATAAATGACATCAGATTTAATTTAGTTTGGATGATAAAAGTACACAAATTCTGAATAGAAAAAGGCTAGATGGTATTCAACGATACTAACAAAAACAAAAGCAAGGCAAATCAGTATTTATCTCGGAGGTCAAAAAAGCAACATAAATTTGGGACGTACACATAGGAAGAGAAAAGATATAACACCTTGAAGAATTTGGTCGCAATTTGTGAATGTCAGATTCTACTGACATTTCCTTAAATCTTTATATAAGGCGTTCTTGAAGAATCCCTGGTGCATAATTCCTTAAATGTTCGCCACCTGATTTGTTAGGCCGTTTACCTCTAAGCATTTATCTTACTTGATATATTATATAATGACCTTTAAAAACTATCGCAGTAAAATATAAACAGGGTATCCTATTTCAGCGCAACAAATATTGCCATTGCTGCCACACCTGCAGAGCCTAAACATGACACAAAATTATGATTTATAAGACATTTTTCTAATATAAATCGGGAAGATCTATCGATTTAAAATACTTTAAATTCTATATTGTTCATTATTTGTAACAACATACAGGGTGGTCCATTTGAAAACAAAATTGCAAATTTTGCATAAGACGGTAATTTAATAGTATTTTGAAACATACTCTACGTTGCAGAGAACTTGCAGCTTTCTACACTTTCTAAGTTGGTCTCTATTTTATTAATCAAAAACGTTATAAAATCTCGAAACCTCGAATAAACGAAATATTCTACAAAAACCATCAGAATCTGATATCGGAGGAGGCAATGGAAGAATACATTCTTGACGCAAGTTACAAGACTATTTGTTAGTTTCTATTAGTTACTGAACTACGGCAACTATTTTATACTGTTTACTAGCCCGGTAGATACCACCGTCTGGTATAGGGTCAAGAACAGAGGATGGTAGCAGATCATTATTGTTTCAGGAGCCCTAATAATTAGAAGTATTTCTTTTAGTTTTTTTGGACAAAAACATAGCGCCAGGGTTACAAGTAACTGCCAAAGGCAAGCTTTCTTCTCCAACCCTTCGTATGTGGTCAGCAAGGTCACAAGACTAATACGCTATGTATGGCATGTAGCAGAAGTGCCAGTCAGTTGTTACATCTTATACTAGATAGAAGCTATTTACGCCACATCCTGAATAATCTGTATTTATGTTAACCTATGACAGCAGGCGAGTCAGAAAACCAAGCTGTAGTAAAGAAACTTCATTGAGTTGAAACCCTGAACCAAATTACTCAGAAATATCGCGTAGCCTGGAATTTTTGTTTGGAAATAGAAACACGAAATTTCATAAACCATTTATTCAAACTGGATTTTACGATATCTCAAATATATCTACATCCTTGCATTAACCTGGAACGCTGCCACCGCGAAGTTTTCATCGTTAGACGAGACCGACACCCTAGCTACACCGGACGCATCCACTGCAAGAGATTTGCCGGTACACTGGCCATCTTGGTACTCGCCCGACACAACATCACAGTAAGTGCCAGCTGGCAAATCAGTCGGAATGTCTTCATTGATGGCCCCGGAGACTGTAAACACAACGAATCCTTTATCTTCCCGGCTGAAAGCTATTTGGTTGTCGCCGTTGTCCCACCACTTGGTGTAGTTCGTCCCGGCTACCACACTTCTGAATTCGACCATGTTATAGATTTCTCGCCACCTGTGCTCGCACACCCATCCGCTAGCGCAAGTACCGTCTTCGTTAAGAGGCGAATTCAGATCTCCGCTGTTGTTTGGCGGTCCTGAAAACAAGTTTCTTTGGGTTTGTTTTTGCTTTTGATTTACATTTTGGCAACAGTTTTGATAATAAAAGCAGCAAGAGACGCAATTGTTCCTTATGGTACTGGTAATATAAATTCAAAACAAGTTTCTTTGGGTTTGCTTTTGCTTTTGATTTACATTTTGCCAACAGTTTTGATAATAAAAGCAGCAAGAGACGCAATTGTTCCTTATGGTACTGGTAATATAAATGTAGTCGAAACCCATAACCACTTCACGTTAAAGCCCTAAGCTCGAACAGCAGCAGCCCCATGAATAACAACAACCAAAGGTTTGGATCCAATAGACAAAACGTCCAATTTTTATGTGACATTTGACCCACTTCTACACATCTAATACCTTTGGGTGTCCATGTAATATGTAAGGATGTGCGATGAAAGTAAAAGTATTGGAATGTCTCTAGAAAGTCCTATTATACTTTTGAATGGACAAAAAAATTGTTACTATAAATTAATTCACTTTTGTTTGCTTCGATTTTGTAGTGTCGACCAAATCATATAGCTAATTACACAACCACGTGTGCAGAATAGTATATATATCTGAAAGTAGAGGATGGTTTACATCACAGAACCAGGCCTATGAAATCTCAGGCCCGCATGAAGCCTAGTAATCATCATCTGTGGGATAATTTGAACTAGCTATTCTATATTAGAGGAACAAAAGGCCACAAGACAATTGCCGACCACAACGTGCTAATAGAGGAAAACCAAGAAAAGCTTAGGATATTACCATCATCGCTGCCGTTGAAGTCAAAGCTTGACATCACTCTGGTGATCCCTTCGTATGGATGGGCGAGCATGAAAGCGATGGCCGCCTTGTAAGGTTTCGGATTTTTGTAGTTCAACACGTCACCGTTCCTTTGGGTGTCGTGATTGTCGATCATGACGAGCGAATGCTCTCCTTCGATAAGGCCCCAGCCTGTACCCCAATTGACCAGCCAGTGAAGGGGGTTACTGCCTCGGAAACATCGACTGAGTTCGGCCCCATTTTTGAACTCTATGACTCTGCCGAAATCGATATATTCCGTGTTGCTGACTGCGTCGACGCCGGTGTCTACGACTTCTTGGTAGATGAAGGCTCTCGAACCTTCCGCGAAGTTATGCTCGGTGTTGAGGTCGTCCAGGGTGCTAAATATGGCTTCCAAGTCTTGGGGCCACATATGCTTGGCTGCGTCGACTCTGAAACCAGCCACACCCAGGCTGATCAGGTGGTTTAGGTAGTCCTTAATTTGTTGGCGCACGTAATCTTGAGACTGATCGAGATCTTTCAACCCGGACAGTTCGCAGTTTCTGATGGAAGTGGCGTCGCTGTAATTAATGTCGCAGGTCTCGTGGAAGTTCTCGTTCGTGTAGGGTATACCGGGGTACGATTTGGAGGCGGGATCGGCCGTGTTGCCCGCTGTACCGGTTCCGCTCAGGCCGGCCATATCGTTCAACAAGATGTCGACGTAAATTCTGCCACATACCAAGTATTATTAGCGAGTTTCTTTTATTATTATAGATTAACTGGGGGGGGTATCCCCTATTTGTAATAAAACTGATTCGAAGAACATTTAATTAATCAGACTTGGAAATCATATCGATTACTTGAGTTTGATGTTTGATGGGTTTAATGTGAGTTTGAAGTATAAAAAGAGCAACAAAAACAGTCTCTGAATGATCAACATTATCCTGTATAGTTAATTTTAATGTGCCTGTGGCAATCCTGGGTCGCCTGGTATACTTCGTAGAAGATTTTAACGGCTAAGGGTGTCAATGACAAGTTTTGAAATGGACTCTACCTTACACCGACGTCGTTGCATCTCTTGATCATATCAGCCAAGGCCGCTTCGTCTCCAGATCTTGTGTTAAGGCTGTGGCTGACCGGTTGGTACCTTTCCCACCATGGTCTGAACGGATCTTCGACAATCAAGTTCTCTCCGGCTGGCGATATCTAATTTCGTAAACAACGCAATTGAGTTTTCGTTGGTATGCTGGTCGTTATCATGCAGTACCTGCACACCACCGTATTTTTTTTTGCTCAGGAAGTTCTCGCATTCTGAAGCGATCGCATCCCATTTCCATTCGAACAAATGAACGATGGTGTTCCGTCCGTCGACAAAGTGCGGATCTTTTTGCGCTTGCGCAAATACCGCGAGCAACGCTCCCAAGGATGCTAAGAATAGAACCTTCATCGTATTACTGCGAGAATGGTTGCGGAAAAATCCTTTCGTTGCCTTTATACGCAAGCATCAATTGTTTTTTCAATATAAATTCCCGTTATCAGATAAATTTTGCTAAAGTGCCACTCAACGTGTTGTTTTCAACGAAAATGTTTTAGAAATTGTTATATAGGTTCTTAAAAAAAAAAAGTAAAAATTATAAGAAATTTTTCCTAAACAATTTTAACAGTCTCGTGATAAGAGTGAGGCATCAGAGAAATGTGACGCATTACTTTCCAGCTTCGTAGAAATACGAATAGGATATCAAAAAAGGCAGAAGAGAACGTGGAGTAAATAGTCAACAGCAGCTGCATACGAAATGGCGTTTTTAAACTTTGCCAAACGAAGAAACTTTTTTTTGAAAATTTCAACAAGTGTGTTAATAATTATTGTTCAAAAGGTGTATTCAGTGTATTTTCTATAATATTTCAGCTTTATTTGCCATCTAGACATATTAGCTGAAAACTTTTTTTTTAATTTTATTATGTTTCTTAATGAGAGAGAGTAGTAAAATGTAATTCTGCAACGATAGGGATTAAACATTAAATTGTAATAATAATTATACGATTATAAAATTATACAGACGGGGATATAATTGACATATTAATTATTCTAATATCAAATAAATAAAAGCTTATATAGGTGTACCAATCATGTGAAAATAGAATAGATACTAAAATAGAATAATGTAATCAATACTACTATCTAAAATATGGATACAATACGACTTAATTTGTAAATTTTAGCCATTACGTTCCAAGTATAATCGTCAGAGAAAAATTAAGGGGTTCTGCAGTGTTTTCCAGCATATTTATTTATTTATTTGCAAATCCAAAGAGTAGCCAACAGTTAGACGAGGCTGCCCAATTACAGGATGGCGTATATTAAACATATATTACCTTGTCGGTAATACAAAAGAAGCGGAACTAGATATTTTCTAAGCTAATAACTACTTTAATGAGTGTTACAAAATTTTGTATACGTTTCTTTTAATCAAATTTAAGTAGAATAAATCTGTATCTTCGCTGTTTAAAGAAGCAGTATTGTTATACATCCGTCTATGGAAAAAGTTTGGCTAGTGTGTGCACTTGATACAACAATAGACTAAAGTTCATTATCTCATTGGTTTCACAAGTTATGTGAAAATTGTAAATGCAAAACATTGTTGGGATGCACAAATTAAAATTATTTTAAAGTATACAGGGTGGCTCGAAAAAACGTGACGAATAAACTGTACTTTTAAAATGTCTCAACTTTTTTATTAATAATAATACATACCTAAAACTAATAGTTTTGCCATATTTCAATTTTTATTAAAAAAAATACTAGTTCATACACTTGCAAAAAAAATAGTGTCATTATTTTTAAAGGTAGATCCCTCATATTTGATGTTATCGTAACTCGAAGTTGACGTTAAAGATATATGCAACGGAATTTCAATTAGATGCTACAGGGTGTTCAAAATAAATGAATATATTTTCATTTTGCATTGACAAATTTGGATTTTCTTAAATTGCACACCATACATATTATTATTTTTCCTCAAAGATCATACAAAAACCTTCAACTTTTATTAAATATGTCATATACCCATTTATATACACCCATAATATTAGTTGGCCATTGCACAAACTATTGGGCAACAGGGCTCTGTCTAGATTTAAAAATGAACAGGAAATAGAACTTTGTTGGAGCCGTAGATGAAGCGACACATGCAATTTTGGTGAAAATAACGGGCAAATTTTAAATTTACAGAAAGAGTAAATAATTTTAAATTCGTATTACTACAAATTAATTTATCTCATTTTTAATTATTGTTACATCGCAATAAATGTCCAAAAATATTCCCTTTTACTTGAATACGCATGCTCAGTCCTTTTTGTAAATTTTCTGAAACATTTCTTAGCAAAAATGGTGTTATTCTACTGCGCGCTCCAGTTTTCCTTGCAGGGGGATTTACATAAATACGATCCTTAACATATCCCCATAAAAAGAAATCTATTGCACTTAAGTCACATGCCATCCCGCGATTCCACTTCTATCGGCTCATTCCTGTGATTAATGATTACTTAAGAATTTTCGGACTTCTCAATGGTAATGCGGAGGAGCTCCATCTTGCTGAAACCACGTTCTGCAAAAAATTGAAAGATCTAAATATCTAAAGTGTTTTATTCCACATAACAAATTAAGTGGGCAACGGTTTTGATTTTGCACCTCCCATACCCAGAATCGATTAACTGTTTGTTGAATAATGCATGTTACGACAATTAACTGCACCATTACTGAAAAACAAAAAATATGGATAGGCCTCTATTGCTTCATTTATACCGGTGCAGAGTTTACCCTCTGTTTACAATCACAGTCTAGAAGTTCTTGGTGTAGTTCCATATGGAAGGAAGGAAGGATGATATTTGTGTTTTCTAGTGGTGCGATTAGCAGCAGATTACTGACCTTGGCGATTAATATTTCCAATTCTTTTTTCTCATTTGTTTTTCACATTCAGTAGTACCACTAACATCAAACGGTTGGTATACGTCTATTAGTGTATTTCGTGTAAAATCTTACTGCTTACTACTATTTACGAAAGTTCTGGATTCCTCCTGCATCGGTTGTTGTCGAGTCGAACTTGCTAACTTTTCGCCAGCCATCCTGTTGGCTCCTTCGAAAACAACAAACGACGGAAGAAATCCGGAAGTTTTGTAAATAGCATTACAGTAACCTGTGCAAGTTTCTTTGAAAAATTGATCTCACTGCTTACTACTTCATTTATAAACAACCGATGCAGGAAGAATACCGCAAATTTTGCAAATATTGTTACAGTACTCTGTGGAAGTTTCTTTGAAAAATTGTTCTTACTGTTTACTACTTGATTTATAAACAACCGATGCAGGAAGAATACCTCAAAATTTGTAAATATTGTTACAGTACTCTGTGGAAGTTTCTTTGAAAAACTGATTTCACTGCTTACTACTTGGTTTGTAAACAACCGATGCAGGAAGATTACCGCAAATTTTGTAAATAATGTTACAGTAGCTCGTGAAAGTTTCTTTGAAAAGTTGATCTTACTGTTTACTATTTGATTTATAAACAACCGATGGAGGAAGAATACCGCAAATTTTGTAAATATTGTTACAGTACTCTATGGAAGTTTCTTTGAAAAATTGACCTTACTGTTTACTACTTGATTTATAAACAACCGATACAGGGAGAGTACCGCAAATTTTGTAAATATTGGTACAGTACTCTGTGGAAGTTTCTTTGAAAAACTGATTTCACTGCTTACTACTTGGTTTGTAAACAACCGATGCAGGAAGAATACCGCAAATTTTGTAAATAATGTTACAGTAGCGCGTGAAAGTTTCTTTGAAAAATTGATCTTACTGTTTACTACTTGATTTATAAACAACCGATGGAGGAAGAATCCCGTAAATTTTGTGAATAGTGTTAGAGGAGTCTGTGAAAATTTCTTTAACCAATTCTATACATAGTGGTCTATGATTTATGTGGTATAGGGTAAATAAGTTGTAGATGCTTTTTTAAGATGTTGTCAATGTTGCCATTTATAAAATCTAGAAAAAATTGATTTGGTCAACTTAAGACCTGCTGGTGGTACTTACGGATTCATAAAAGATATTCTTTTGAATGCTGCATATAAAATTAACCTAAATTTACCTATATTTTTGGGGAAATAATAATTAAATACAATTGTAATAATAATCATTAATTAATGTAAATCGAGTGTGTTTAAAACAAGCAACATTTTGCTAATTCGTATTCGGATTATACCTATCTATTATCGACTGTCGACACTTTGTGGTGTTCCCTTACCGCACACCTTGAATTTTGACGTTTGTCAGTTCTTACAGTTATATCAGTGTTTTCGTGTTGTTTTTCCAAGAATGTACACAAAAATTAACGGTTTTAGTAAAAGTATAATATGCAAGACGTTTGGTAAACCATTTAGGTCACTCATTTATTAAACACTCGCTCCGCTTATGCCAAATAAACTCGTCACTCAAATGCCATTAACCACACTTATTGCATAATATACTATTACTTTATCTTTGACTCACCCTCTACAGGAACGTTGTTGACAACTAAAGAAAAACTTTTTCGGTTTTTCTTGACCGGTTGCCTGCATTATTTATGCCTGTAACATACTCCAAGCAGATAATTTTGTGCTTCCCTTGGTGTCCCACATTATCGTCGGTTCAATTATCATCATCCCTGTAATTTTCTTTCGTCTCAGCTATACTTAGGTACGTTTTTTCACTTTTAAGTTAAAGGCGGCAGCATGGTACACCGATCCTGAGATTTATTCAGCCTCCAGAGCCCCATAATGACTGGGTATTCTTCTAAAATTTCTGTTCGATTGCATTAATCTGCGTAAAATGAGTGGTATTTTAATAGAATCTGCAAAAAAAGTAGCCGAGCATGTGACAATAACATTGTTAATATTTTAGTCTTATAATTTTGAGCAGAATGGTTCAAATAATTTTGATATGATCTACAATCCTAAAGAGGTATTTTAAGATAATCTTTTCCATAGACTTGTCAATCATCATTAGAGAAGCCTACAAATCCAAATAACAAAAAAAAACAAGCTAGTAAGTGTTAATTGATTGTTTTATCCCATTTAAAAGTTTCCAGCGTAATACTTAAACCGTGGGTATTTGGTGTATTTGTTCGGATACTATCGGGATAATCTAGAATAACCGAAGAAAACCGGGCATGACATACTACAATACTGATATTTGCCGGAAATTTAAAAAATAGGCAAGAAAAAAAATGAAACTTCTAAGATTCAAAACGGCAAAGTCTCTTGGTACTTAAACATTGCTGAATATATTAATATAAATCCTTCGCTAGTAAAAAAGTAAATTCGGAAAATATACAGTGTGTTAAAAGTTTAGTGCACTTAAAATATTTGCAGTGTACAGGGTTGGATAAAAAATACAAAAACTTCACATGGG